TTGCCTCAGGGTCCACAGACTTAATATTAACATGCACATTTCAGGTAACTTAATATCATCCATGATTAAAGAGCTTCTTTTTTTTTTTTATATAATAGGATTTCATGTACTTACTTCTCTGTGATAAATTTACCATTTTAGAGTCATAAATACACAAATGGTTAACACACATTTTACTCTAAGAGTAAAGAGGCAAAAACATCAACAACATGGCAGTATGCAGTTTGAGGACAACAAAACACTAGTAAACACCATTAGTAACTAAGAAGTGGTTAAAAATGAAAAATAAAATCTATTAAAAAAGTTTAATCTGGAGCTTTTACTTACATTGTGACAGTCCATGCCTTACTCTCAAAGATGACTTCAGTCTTCAGCTGAGTTCACCTAGTTTGACTTGTATGTCTCAATTTCTATGTGGACCAAGCAATGCTCTCCTAAAAGAGTCTCCGGTATGATACAGATGTCTCACTGGCTCTTACTAACAATCACTGTATGTTCAGTAACACCCTGCTCACGCAAGAGTGAGAGAGAGAGACATACAGTCAGAGAGAGAGAGGAGGAGAGAAAGAGGGAGGGAGAGAAAGAGAGACCTCCTACAAACATGACAGCATGTGTTCCATCTTTTCGGTCTCATTAAGGTTGCTGACCTACTGTGTTCACATTACTGTTACAGACCTTTAACAGAAGAGCAACATTAACATAACAGCCTACAGACTTAGGAAGAGTAACTGAAATAGGCTGAATATGGAGACAATTTCAGCGATTTAAAGTTTGACAGTTTTGAAACAAGTTAAAATGATGGAAGTATTTAGTCTGGATATTAATAAGGAATACGCAAAGTGACTATCACATGGACCGAGCATCATGAAAACTTCATAAGTTACAATGTTACAATAATAAACTCCACAAATAAAAACAGATGACCAACATAGAAATACTATGTAAAAGCCAGATGGTCATAAAAAATAATTGCTGACTTTCAAATTGTACTAATAGTGTGGAAATAAAAAAGTGTGAGCATCTTGGACTGTTTTTACACTAGGAGGTGTTATAAATTTATTAGAGGCAGAGTGAGCTAACAGCCCTCTCCATCCCTCTGATCCCAGCTGGTATGGCCGCCCACACTCCTCTGCCAGCCTCAGAGACAAGACGGAGAGGGAGAGAAACAGAAAACATCCATTTATCTGAGTTATATCTCTGACTTTAACGCTCTCCTGCTGGTTTGCTAACCATTCAAACAATATGTTAAGTTATCCTCACGCCTAATTTCACAAAGCGGACTCGCTTTATCAATCAATTCACTTTTAATTTGTATGAATGATAACCACTGTGTAATTAAATTTACTGTAATCAATCATAATAGTAGTTAGTCTGCTTATAGTAGCCTAATCATTAGTGTATCTAACATGGTATTTATCCACCTAAGATGATTGGAGCATAGGAACGTCATTGTGCGAACTTGTGAACAGCGAGTTAAAAGGCAAAAAAGTTAAAATAAAAAAGACTAGACAAGCCATATGAGATACTGCAGCCAGGTCACTATTAGAATAGATGGCCTATATACTGTAGTTTTGTGATAGTTTTGTTTCAGCTGAGATAAATTTTGCCTGTAAGTAAGAGTATACAAAACAGCACGAGCACAGAAATACAGAAGGTACTGTTTTACTGTTTAATCAGTCAGTTAGAAACTGCTATTAAAGGTAGATTACTGATACAGATGGTGCCTAGCAACTCTCAGCATCACCATCTCCTATTAATTCCATGACGACACTAAGAGAGAGCAGGATGGTGAGGGGTTACCATGGTAACGTTCTTAGTGCCCCTTCCTACACTCCCTCCCTGCGTATTTAGAGCCCTGTTGGTCCAGACAAATCAGACGGGGCTAACTGTGACAGCAGTAAAAATGTTAAAGGCTTAATTCACAAGACAAATTGTCTAGTCTGTCTTTTATGATGATAGATTATTGAATCAAGTTTCAATCTGTGGAGGCTGTGGTGGCTCCCAAGAGGAGAGTGGATCTGGCACTAACAAAGCAACTGTATTACAGTTTTATGAGCATGCGGCAGAGTAAAGGCCTCAAACAGCATCTTGAACACACCCATATATGAACAAAGAGACAGATTATGCAGAATTTAGAGACTGAGACAAAAATTTCTGTACATTTCAGTTAAGACGATTTTGATTGTGACCCTCTCGATGACGTTCAAAGTTGATCAGAGCAACTATGATACGTCATCCAGAAAATGAACTACTTTGGAGATGTTATCAATCACCTAGCCCTGGAGAGCCCAGGGGAGAAATAAACGGTAGGGCCACTGTTGACCAGACTCGTCCTTAAAGAGTTTATTTATATTGGCTACCTGAGACAGGAATTGGAGCAGAGCAGACTGCAGACCAGCTAAAGACACCTCTGTCTGAAAGTGTATGAACATTAATCCACAGCCTGCTGATAAAAGTGGAGGAGATATGGTGAGTTGTACAACCTCTATTTTATTCAAACCCTACAAGTTATGGTAACAAATCAGGGCTATTTTATCAGTGCAAAAATGTTCATATGTAATGTTAAGGCATATAAAAATGTGTGAAACCCTTTACCTTGTCACTACTTTTGCCTTCAGGCTCTGTGGCATCCCTCTCAGACCCAGGTGGCCTTTCTTCTCCATGGTGGTCAGCAGCTGTCCTATCCGCACTCTGAGTGAGGCTGAGGCTCTCCCCTTCACTCTTTTCTTGGACTTCAGAATCAATCTTTCCTTCTTCTACGACATCCTCTTCTTCCTTTGATGTGACCTCTTTTTCTTCCACTGTATCCTTTGGCTGTGACTCTACAAGTGATCTCTGACTGTCCTCTGGTAAATGTTGTGCACTTGCCTCTAAAGTTTCACTCTCTGCCTCCATTGCAGCCGCGGTTGTATATGACTGGGTTACTTGAGATGAATGATTTTCTACACCGCCATCATTAACATCTTCATCCTCCATCTCACTATAACCTTCTGTATGTATGTCCTCTTTGTCTCCTCCATCTGTGTCTGTCCTCTCATCTTCTTTAAGGTCGTTGGACTTTGTTTCTTTCTCAGAATCCTCATTCTGCCAAAGTTTGCCTTCTCTTATCTTCTCATAATCTTCATTTGTATGATCGGTTTCATCCTCTGGCTTCTCTTCATCTGCCTCGGTGGTGAGCTGATGTGATGAGCTAACACCTTCTCCCTTCTTATCATTATCATCACTATGATTTAAATTAGGGGCATGTGTGTCCACCTTCTCCTTCATTATATCAGATGCTTCGTGCTGACTTTCCATTTCCTCCCTCTCAGACTTAAATTCTTTTTCAGCTCCCTCCATTTCGGGTTCCTCATTGTGTTGTGGACCAGATATATTTTGGTCTGTTGCCACTGCAGTAACATAATTGGAGTCTTCCTCCTGTTGCATTTCTAATATCTTAGTCTGTAAGACCTCTACTGATCCCCCTTCCTCTGGCTGTTTCTCCCCGACCTCAGTAATCTGCTGAGCCTCTGGAACATCTTCAAAGCTAATCTCAACCAAAGAATCCTCCTTTGGTATAGTACTACTAACTAAACCACCCTCAATATGAGCTAAACTTTGATGTGTTTCCTCAGATGAAGCTTCAATCTCTGTTCCTTCCTCCTCTTTTGTTTTTGCTTCTTGTTGATTGCCCTCAGTGGTTTCAAATTGAGACAGTGATGATCGTGCAAGAGTTTTCGCAGGTTGGGGATTTAAGCTTTCTTCTTCGACTACATGTATATCATTTTCAACAGTGGCTATTTCCATTATTCTCTCGGTTCCACCAAGCTCTGTAGCACAAACGTCCACATCAGCCTGCTCAGAATACGGAAAGACCTCCACTGGTTCTTCAACTTCAGTATTTTCCTCTCTTTCTGAGCCTGCAATCTCCTTATCTACAACTGCAGAGTCTTGTTTATCACCTCCCTCATCTTCCGCCATTCCTAACTCCTGAGCACACACATCTACATTAGAAACCCCACTGAATGATAACAAGTTAGTGGACTCAGATTGATGTATGTCTTGGTCTGGAACAGAGCTGCTATCTTTTTCATTAGCTGCCCTGTCAACTTTTTCAAGTGTATTTATTGTGGGGTCTTTCTCTTCCTCGGTCCCACTCAGTTCATCAGACTGTACATCTGCAGCTGGGAGCCTGTTGATGGATTCCCCTTCTGAAAGTCCTTTTTCCACTGAAATAATGTGTTTCTCTGTAATATCATGTTTTCCTTCTTCTTGTGTGCTTTCAGTTAAATCAACTTCTTCAGATACGTTAGGTTGTGAGATCGAAAGATTTGAGGCTTCTGCTGAATGACTTGATTCATCTTCCGTTTGGCACTCAAATGATTTTTCTCTAAAAAAGTACCAATCAAAATGAAAGGCTTAAGGTGAGAAATATTCAGTATGACAAGGGAAAAATTTGATGCTTCTCAGAAACCATGCAAGTATCATAATGCCTGTGTCACACTCATCTGGATCCTGTCACTGTGTTGCTGCAGCTGGTCGTCTCTTGTTGATCAGTCTTGCTCTTTCTCACCTTTGACACTGCAAACTTACCAGTGCTTTCAATACTGAACTGACATTCTGTGCTAGCTCTGAGCCTCTAAGCCACAATTTTTTACATGAACCTCTCTGAAAAGTTGCATTAGATTGAACCATACTATCCATATATTAAAATAAATTAGTATACACTACTGCATTTGCTTATAAAATCTGAACGCATACTTTTAACAGATGTGCAGTGATTATTTTCTGGCATTTGTTGAGACAATGCATGTATGTCCAAACCTCAGAAAAAGTATAGCTGGGGAGTGATTATGCAAATTTTACCGATTACCTAATTCTATTTCCTAATTTACCTCATCAGCACTACAGAAAACCTCACACCAAATGACGTCTGATGGAAACATTTTAGAAATAAACATGACAAAATAATATTGCATTCTCATGTCCACTTATCACTATCCTTTCCCTCATGTTCACCCTGTCCCTCTCCTGTTGATCCTCTTGCCTGTTGATAGCACATATAGTGAAACTCACTTGGAAATGGCGATCTCTGGTGCAAGCTCTTTCTCGGGACTAGCCTGTTGGGGTGAAAACCGACAACAAAGGTGTAATGGTAAATAGAAACTCGCTGATAAACGGAGGAGAGATTTATACGCATACTGAGAGTAGTAAGCTAATATATTGTAGGTTGAATTCGTACCCCAGTAGCCTTGAATGCATGGTTGTTGTAAAATCGATCTTCCAGTTTAGCAGCCCACTCAGCAGGGTCCATGCCACTCTCTACACGCAAAAAAGAAAACAATAATAATTTGACAGTACGTAATAGCATTTGTCTCATTTAAAGGGCAACTTTTACTTGTCAGTTTCACGTAGAAAGTTGAAGTTACCTTCTCTTTGTTTGAGAAGAACATCGAAGTACTGTGCAGCATATTTAGGGATGTCTTCAGGCTGGTCTCGTAGGATTTCTCTGGCAAGTCCCTCGAGGATTGTACCAAACCCTCGCGGTATCCGCAGGTGAGTGTTGGAGAAAGGCACTGACATTTTTTAGGATAAACTTCGACGGTAACTAGGGATATCTGACCAGGAGAAGTTTTTCCACTGTAGCTTATTTACTGTCTTCCCCTTGTGTAGTGCAGAAGGGGAGAAAAGCTAACGTTAGCTGGTAACTTTCTAAAGTACATAACGTTAACTTAACGTTTGTGGTTAAGCATATTAGCTACACACCACTTAAACAGCTTATATATATGTATATATATATTCAGTAAGATTTAGAAAATGTCAAAACATAAGTAATTAGTTACGCCTGTTACCTGAAATGACTTGCAATTCGTATCAACGTTTACTTTTAAATGCTATGGCTAGTGACAGTAGGCTTTTTGTTGATAACCGTTTCTAGGCAACGACTCTGACTACGGATACTGACAAGGCTCAAATGCCATTAAACTCACAAGAATTAAAGTCTTTATTGGTTATAATTGCGGGTTCATAGCATTCTTGAAGCAAACAATATAACGAGTAGCATAAAGCAGCATTATTTACACATAATGTATATTAGCATGTATAGCACAGTCAGACGTGTGTCCCATTTCGCTCCTCAGGCATATGTGATGACTGCATATTCCGAGTTGGTACTCATCTTGCGGCTGACCTCTCTGGGCATGGGGACATGCAGCCTGTCAGCTGATCGTGAGGCCTGCAGGTAAGACCTTGATTCATCTCCCCACCACTGGAGAGGAAGCAGAGAAAAACTCTTGTAGTATGTTGGAAATAGAAAGATCCACTCAAGACTTTTGCCTCTTAGGTTTAGTCAAACCTAGTTGATAAAAATACCTAATATAAATAAACTGTTTATTGGCTTTATTTCTTTTTTATATAAACCCATGCATGAAATATATATTCACTGTATAATCAAGAAAGAGAAATATAAGAGGTGTTAACATTATGATATAAAATTAACAGCTTTATGATCATTTTAGAAGCTGTGTGACTGTGGAGTTGTATTACAACACCGAGAGCTGTCTCTCAAGTTTAGTCAAACCTAGTTGATAAAAATACCTAACATAAATAAACTGTTAACTGACTGTATTTCTATTTATACAAACCCATACTTATGAAATATATAATCACTGTATAGTCAAGTGAGAGAAATATAAGAGGTGTTAACATTATGATATAAAATGAACAGAACATTTCTCACCTTAAGCCTTTCATTTTGATTGGTAATTTTTAGAGAAAAATCAGTCCCAAACTGAAGAATATCTAAGTCTAAACTTAAAGTTTCTTGTCTGGCAACCCTAGCGTGACAGATGCTCTCTACATATAGTAGGTCCTTTGTTCACCTAAGACTTGAGCAGTCGATAAAGCATACATAGCCAAGTAACTGTTCATTCACTTAAGATTATATAATCCGGGCCTTCATTGTGCCTCCTTGTAGACCAACAACTATAAGTGATCAACATAACATAGGCATTCACCAATTTTATATTTAAGATTGTGATCTATGGTTGCAAAGGCGTGCTCAGAACAGAGCAGTGGAGAATAAGCTGTCCTGTGAATTTATGATTCAGTGAGATAAAAGTAACAAACTCATTGACACTGAAGTCTTGTCCCTCACCTCCTTTTGATCTCCAGGAGTCAAATAGCAAACCTGAGTGAGCTCTGGTGTGCTGACACCTCGGGCAGCGATCATTATGTCAGCATATGGAACCTCAGTGTCACTCTCATTATCTGGGTCAAAAAAATTATTAAATATATTAGTAATTGTCTGTCTTCTTATTGTAACAACTTCTGCTCTGTCATTTAGAAAAGATGTGTGATTGTCTTACCTGGTGTTGGAATCCTTAAAGTCACTCTTTCACTGTGTGTTGACAGTGACCCTGGTGAATATGACAGGTAAGAATGACAGGACTGCATTTGGAAGCCAGAATTGTTGCATTTTATATTTCATATTTTTGATTATTTACCCTTCACTGGTGAGAAGACAGCATGAGATGGTTGTGGTGAGCTGAAACAGAAAATAAAGAAATTAACTAACAAAGCATTTTGCAAAATCATGGATTTTTTGTTAAGGTTATGAACACATAAGTTTACCCAAATTGTACTTACCTTGACCTGGATAGAACAGGCTCCCCTGGGATGTGTGATATTGTTAATGAAATGATATAGAGATAAAAATTGTATGTAATTTCTCAGAACTGGTTACTTTTTACAGAAAGAATATGTTCATAGTGTAATATTCTGTAATCACCTTTACCGTTCCAGCTTTGTCTGTTCCAGTTCAGACACAGATAAGCAGCCAATGCTGCAAGCACCATGGCCACAGCAACACTTACTGTTGCTAAAACCTTAATTCCAGTAAATTCTCCTGTTAACATTAACACAACAGTATGAAATTGGATTGGATTGGATTGAAAGGGCAACTTTGAAAGGGCAACTTGTACTTGTCAGTTCAACATATAGATGCACATAATAATACAGAATTCATACGTAGTCATACATTATCTATGTTGATTAACTTTCTATTCTGCACTGTTTAAACTCACCTCCACTTGAGTCTTTTGGCTTAGCAGAAAGAGATGCTGAGAAATGTATAACATAGGATAAAAAAGTAAAAGTAATTTGATTGTGCAGTATTTTATGTCAGACTTATAAAAGTTTCTCACCATTTTTAGTTTCAGTCATTGGGGTAACTGTCCAGTTTGGGGCACTTGTTTGAGCTGAAAACAAACAAGCAGAAAACTCTGAAATCATTTGTTTAGTTGCTTCTTTTTTAAAGAATTGCCAAAGACACGATATATCTTTTATTGATTTTCACATACTAATGTTCATCTACCTTCAAGTTGCAGTGAAACAATACGCTCTGTTTTTTGTGGAAGCTGGGGGTCATCTGTGTCTTGTGTGTAGCAAGTGTAGCTCGTTTTAAGGTCTTCAGCGGACACGTTTGACAGATGAAGAGATGTTGTGCAAAAGGTGCTTGAGCTTTGTGTCCCATGACAGACAGAGTTGCCTGGTGTTTTACTCCAACAGCCCCGAACAAATCCATTGGAGCAATTGTAGGTGCAGTTTAATGTTAGAGAGTCCCCTAACACTACAGTCAAGAAATCAGTGGGTATCTTCATATTAACACAGCTACCAAAATCTGCAAAGAGACGAAGTTTGATCTACTTTAAACATCAAATAACAAGCATGACTTTTTGACAGCATTATTGAACGCATGTACATTTTTTTAACATACTTATTGCTAAAGCCCAGTACAATAACAAAGAGTATAAAAACCTTACCTTGTGTCACCCACAAAAAGAGTAATGTGAAGTGGACTGAGATCATCATTATTGCTCCCTGTTTTTCTGATTCCTGCTGCCTCGAAAAACAAGCAATCAAATATCTCCTGCACTTGGAGTCTGGTGATGCTTGCACCTGCAGAAAAATACTGAAATACCCACACATGTGAGCCAACCTTTGGTTAAGAGTACAGGAAGTGGTATACAGCAGGATTTAGAATTATGTAAAAATAATTCATAAGTTTCCATTTATTGCACTTCACTTCCTGGAAAATTATGTTTCTGTTGAAAGTGTAAAGGACAAAAGCATATTCTCAAAAACGATACACCAATCACCCACTAACATTCAAATTACCTAAATTTAAGTATGCATTAATAAATAGCATACATTTTGCACCTGGCTTGAAGAAAAGATACAGCACATGATAATGTGGTTTGCACATATATCTGCAGATGCAGCACTGCAGCTCACTCTCTGCTCACACAGGGGATGTGTCTGACATTCATTTTCCACTGTAATTAAATCATTTATTTTTAAATCCTCAGCCTCTGAGGACAAACAGGGCCTTTTGTGATGAAGCACTCAACATTAACCTAATTTATATGATTCCAGAAATCTAGCTGATTATATATTTTTTTATCTTTCTCATATTTTATTTTATATTCATTATAACCTCTAAATGAATTACATAGGTTTCATAAATTATTGAAGAGATCTACCAACAGAGACAATATCTAGGTTAGCTTTAGAACATACTCATACATTATGAAGATGGAAGGTACAGTTACAGAACATGATGGCACACCATTATCAGCTAGAGCAGTCACCCGGGAGTCACGTTTCGTGCTCTTTTTTCAGTTTCACTGACTGAGGGCCTCTCACTTTCATGCCTTTAAACCAGTAAATCAGTCATGTTGGCTTTGACCAAACAGTTTTGAATGAAAATATACAAATAACTGAAACAGACTGGACTTGATTGGAAACTCAGTGATGACGTGCTCATGGAAAATAGTGCATGTGTTTTGTTTTTCAGCTTCATGGATTTTTCTGCTACTGACACAGTCTGGACTTGCCTCAGGTAAGAACAATGACTGTTAAAGGTGATGTTGTTTTTTTAATTTTATTTATTTATTTATTACAGTATTTTTTTAATGAAACTAATTTAAGAAGAATCAAAACCACCTTGTAGACTTCTATATCCTTCCTTACATTCATTTATTTGTGTAAGAATCATCTGAAGGGAGTGCAGACCTCCTCATCAGCAAAGAGACAGACCTTGCTCACTGCCCAGGAGGAACATTCTTCTCCCACCAACTTTGTTTAGAGTGTCCCTCTGGCTATTTGTGAGTCATCAACAATCTTAGAAATTACTGTGCGCATTAAGAAAATGCATAGGTTCGACTTTTTGTTCCTTTGAGGAATCACATGTAAAAATCGAAAATAAAACGTCAATAGTCAAATGTGTTTTTATCACCACTAGTAAGACGTTTAACTGTAATATATATTTCTGTTGTATAGTTGTCCTGGCAATGTATCTGCACCTCATAGATGTCCAGCCGGAACATTCAACGTCTACACAGGAAAAAGCAGTATCAGTGACTGCGAGGTACTAACATCATCATACAGCTCAGTGCTTCCTAAACCTGTTCTGTCACAGCCTCATTTGAAAGCTAAAGAAATAGCATCTTTTGCTTGTCTTTCTAGCAGGCCAATACACCTTTTTCACAGCAGACATTTTGACGTGTCAGGATGTGAACACCAGTCATTACAGCAATGTAATGCAGCAATCAAGAATCAATTACACCTGTGTTTCAAGTCAGAATGTCCACAGTGAAAAAGGTCTGTTCACCTTTAGTTTCACTTCTTCCCCTCATCATGTGCATGTGTACCTTAAATATCTCAAATACTGTGCTTAATGCTGTATGACAGGTAATATAGTTGTCATTATTCTGTCTTTACTCATTTCATTTCTGTATGTTGCAGCTTTGTTTTCCAGGTCTGATCAGCTCAGAGGACAGAGTGAACTGTCGGCTGTGTCCTGCTGGTTTTTCATGTGATCCAGCGAATGGGACGCTTTCATTATGCCTCCCAGGACAACATTCTCCTGAGGGGGTCCTACAGTGTCTGACTTGCCCTGTAGACTCTGTCTGCACCTCTGGCTTCCCTCAGAAGGTATCAATGGCAGCAGACTTTGTCAAATCCAGATACATCCTCTTAAAAACTTTTTGTATCTGAGAAAGAAAAAACTTTGACAGTCCTGTTGGTGAAGTGTGTTTAGAAAATAGAATTAATCAAAGTCATTGTTCTTTAATATGCTTTATAGTGTGGGCCTGGCAAGGAGCCCAGCCTAGATCACACTGTGTGTAATGACTGTGCCCCTGGCTTCTATTCAACTGTGTGCACTATCCAGTGTCTTCGGTGTCCAGCAGGTAATGCAGTAATAAAAGACCATTTGAAAGTGGATTTGAATAATTAAAATGTCAATTTGTGATTATTAAGGACACCAGAAATGACAAAATGTGTCCTCTTTCTACCATAGGAAGTTACTGTCCAGATAATGCCATGTCACAGCCTCTTCCCTGTCCTCCTGGTTGGTCGTCCACACCTGGACGGACTTACTGCCGTAGGTGTAATGCTACGTCCTCACTATGCGGGGGAGCCACGGCCCCTCGCTGGAGCCAATCAGTGCATAGATCGAGTCAACCCAACATCTGTCGACCAGGAACATACAAAGACGCGAGGGAGGAGTTAGCATGTATGATCTGTCCTACAGGTTAGTGTTTATCACTGCTTACTGTCATTTGTTTTACAGTTTTCTTTCTTCCTGGATGACGCCTAATATGTATTTGAGCATGTTTTTCTTCGCCCCAGGTCATTACTGTGTAGGCGGTGTAGCTGTACCTTGTCCTGCAGGGACTTATGGCTCTAAAGAAGGTCTGCAGAGGCTGAGAGACTGCACAATCTGTCCTGCAGGTAGACTGGCAAACCTTCTATGTTGTTATACTGAAGGTTTCACTCCCAAAGACTTTAAATTTCTGCAGAAAATCAGATCACTGTAACCATAAATGTAACCATTCAGTTACAGTGTCTCTGGTCTAATTGGCCAATTTTACTTAGTTAATTGTTTTGCATGACTTTACCACATATGGTATCCTGTAAAAAATGTTCTTATGACCTTACCTATAAATACTTTTCTCTAGGGTTTTACTGTCTGGAAGGCAGCTCATGGAGACCCACCTCCCAGTTCCTGTGCCCACAGGGCTATTACTGTGAAGAAGGCACCGCCACCCCTCATGGGTCACCTTGCCCTGCTGGTACAGCGGGGGAACAACTGGGTCAGACAAGTAGGGCAGCCTGTAAGAGATGTAGAGAAGGACGCTTCTGTCCTGCAGGTAAGTCTTAGCACTAATACACTGACTTCAATGCAGCAACAAATACTGAAATGCTGAAACAAAATTGCATAAGAGTAGGTAACTACAGCCAAAGAACATGAAATGAAGATCAAATTTAGAGCTAAAATGTTACTGCAGGATGTACTGTGCCCACTGTCCCATTTTGTGTGTTATGCATGTGTGCGTGTGTGTGTGACACAGGCTCATCGGGTCCTGGCTTGCCCTGTGCTCGGGGGAGATATTGCCCTGCTGGCACCTTGGAAGAAGCGATATGTCCTCGAGGCACCTTCACCCCTCATCAAGGGGCAATAAGTGAGTTTATATACCACTCATCATGTATATTTTCCCTTTGCCAAGTAAAAATTCTTATTTGGAAACAGCTCCCTCAAAAGCTCAGCTAAACCTATTATGGTGCTGTAGCAGTCTATCATAACAAGAACTCAGTGATAGTATAAATATGTAAGTGTTGTTTAGTTACCATGACGAACCGGATTATATGGATGAGAAACTGCAACAGATGGATGCCAAGAGGGCAAAGAGAGAATGCGTCAATAAAAAAACACAACTGCTGATAGCAAGCTGGAGCTGTGAGACCACTATAGAAAAGATGATGAGGGGAAACCTGACTGTGCTACATGAGCAGTAAGTATAGAACAGGGGGAGATCATAAAACGCCAACTGATGCCTTTAAATATGAATCCTAACAGACATCCTAATAAAGTAGGCCTACAGTGTATTCCAAACCTGCATTCATCTTAGCACAACAACAATATGTTTGTCATCATTTCCTCCAGGTGTGAAGGATTGTCTCAAATGCCCTGCTGGCTTTTATTGTCCTGAGGGGACAAGCGACCCTGTGCCCTGTCCACCAGGCTCCTTCAACCCCCTAGAGGGTCAGGATGAGCTGGCTGATTGCAGAGAGTGCTATGCAGGGAAGGCCTGCACACAGGTAGCTCTGAGAGCCCCTGATGTGGACTGCATGCAAGGGTAAGTAATCTCAGATTTTCTGTCAACCACGGTTCAGTGATACTGTAAACTTGTGTTTCCGATGCTGTATATATGAACGGCTACTGAGACTCACACATGCATTAAAAATTCTCTTGTTGCCTGTAATGTAATCCTGCCTAGGCATTGTTATTCTGTGATTCTGATTGGGTTGCCTGAATCCTAAGGTTTGTGTGTCCTCCTGGTTCCTCGAAACCCAACAACCCAACTAATGCTTGCCCACCGGGGACACTGAGCAACCGCACTGACCTCACTGATCGCTCACAGTGTCAACTGTGCCCAGCGCGATATGCCTGTCTTCGAGGTGCCATTCATCCTTCACACAAATACATGTTCAGTTGGAATTTAAAAGCACTGTTTGATATTTCATAGCATCACAAGAAATGAATTTATTTGCTTCTGCCTTATAAATAAGAATTACCAATGAATGTCTCTATGAGTTTGATCACTGTATCCACATTAACAGTCATTTACTTTCCTAAAGTATTCTTGTGTGTTCACATGTTTTAAAAGCTATAATAACAATTCCCAAAATATTTTTAAATTATACCACCATCAAGGTATTTGGTCAAACGTATAGTGATATTTGATCATGTCAGTATCGTCTAGACCTACTTTATATCAAGAAAATCTATAGCTTGCAGCTTGTTTGGAAGTTTTCCCACCTTGATGCCTATATCATTTATACTTCATCAGGAACTGGTGGTATCCAGAGACCACCACTCTCCTG